CCCTGGTGCAAATTTAATTTCGATCGAAATGCGTCATCGGATTTACCACAATGTTGTGTCTGTTTCAGATTTCAAGATTCTTCAGCTATTCGGGTGTGCGCTTAGGGTAGATAATTAAAACAAAACCAGGATGAATTAATGTTAGACGGTTATTGGTAATGAAACATTCTGTCGAACCCCGGTGTGTATTTAAATCACAATAGACAAGGATCATATCTGTCAAACTATATAAATCGAGTCCTCGTGTCTAATGGGATTCTCTGTGGACAGCGAGACAGACACAGCTGGCCACTGGATGATCTGTAGAACTCTAAGACGTCCTTAGATCGAAACAGTATTAATTGGACTATAGATAAATACGTGGCATTAAACGTCCCTGGGAGAAACTAACACACAGTTCACATCCATCACTTTAAAACAAGTCCGGTATGTTTGAGGATACTCGGAAATCTGACTGGTTGCAGTTTATTAGCTTGAGAATCAGATACTGGACATTTCCCCCTAACGGTAGGGCCATAGGAAAGTTGAAACGTCGCTATCAGTATTTAAGCTGGTTAGAAAAAATAGCGCGACTTTTTGGACCGGTAGGATCGATGACCGGATCAGATGAAACAGAATACAGTGTGGAAATGTACCAGCTGTGTGCGGACGTCGGTGCAGACGGGCACACGAATGCACATATATACTATACACGAATGATCTGGTTATGTATGATCCAACCGATAAATTGTACTCTTTCCTTGGGCCACATTTGGTAATCCGCTGCGGTCCCGCAGTCCTGCTCACCACCCCCCACCACCACCGTATCCTCAGTCTCTCCCATACCCATAATTGCACGCTTCGTATTGTACCCGTTTCGAAAATCCCAGAGCGCATTGTATCTCCAGATGGGACTGATTGTCTGACTGGTCGGTCGGCCGGCTAGTCGACTGATCACGAAAAGGATGCGGGAGAGTATGTGAACAAGCCGGCTGGAGAGTCTGTCGATCAGATATCAAGGGCGATGAGGTGGGTGGTGGGGGGCGACTACGAGAAAACCCAGATCAATTTAGTACGTCTGAAACAATCAGATCCGACATGGTTCAATGAATCATCAGAAGGAGAGAGAAAAAATGCAGGGCACATACAGTCGACAATCGATCGCG